TAGTTGTGGCTCTCCTAACCAACTGGTCTGTTTTCATTACACATTCACTCTGAAATGTTTAAAGTGACATTTCCCCCTTTTTTGGTGCTGAGTGCTGAAAACCTTAGAGCCTGGTTTGAGGACCACTTATTAAGAAATATATTGATAATTCTGTGGTATGCATTTTTGCATGGGTCTTATTCATGGCTCCATATTACACTCCTATAGTTTTCTGTGTCTCACAAAATTGAAGTTTGCTACTCTGCATCATTTACAAATTCGCTTCATTATGTGTAGAACAACGCAGGGTATTTATTGATCAACAAAAATGCTTTGAAGGTTTTTTCTTTTTTAAAAAAAATATATAGTTTGTTTTGGTTCTACTTCATTCTAAGTTTAATGCATTGGAGTCAACTGAAAGTCCTGATTCAAGCTTCTGCTACTTACTAGTTATGTGACTGTGGACATGTTATTTAGCCTCTCAGCTATAAAATGGGAATAATGATTTTCACAGGATAATTGTGAAGATTAAAATTGTGAAGATTAAAACCAGTATCTACACCTGGTTTACGAACTATTACTAGAAAGGGGGCGCCTAAGTCGGTTAAACATCCAACTTCGGCTCAGGTCATGATCTGGTGGTTTGTGAGTTTGAGCTCGGAGTAGGGCTCTGTGTGGACAGCTAGGAGCCCGGAGCCTGCTTCAGATTCTCTGTCTCCCTCTCTCTCTGCCCCTCCCCTGCTTGCGCTCTGTCTCTCTCTCTCTCTCCCCCCCTCAAAAATAAATAAGCATTTAAAAAAAGAGAGAAAACTTGCTCTATGTAGAAAACCTACTAAACAAATATAACTAGAATTACTTTCATGAGATCTTAAGGACATAAAGTACATTAAAACTATTATGACATCATAAAAATTCAGCAAAGCTGTTTAACTGAAAAACATTTAACTTTTAAAATAAATGAACTATCTTTAGACTGGAATAAATTTACCCATTCCTAGAACATCCACAAGAATATATCACCATCAAGAACAAATGAAAATATATAATCTATATTCAAAAACATTCTCAGATCAGCTGCTTAGCATGCATTTTCCTATAAAACACTGTAAATGGTAGCAAGGCTCCAAAGGACCCAGAGAAGCTAGTCAACTGGTAATTTGACTGAGGCATAGGATTATACTTCTCAGTATGTCTACACCTAAATTGAGTCCTGAGTATATTTTCTTTGGCTACTAAATGAGAATAATCTTCTACCTTCTTCTAGATCCCTTTCCTGGCATTCAGAAAGTATTCTGTGTCTTTAGTGATCAGTAGCTATGAGAAGACAGACCTATGTTGCAAAAGTACATGGCTTATTCAAATTTCCTAGAAACTACAATTTTGGTTTATATATCTGACTTAAGTGTTCCTGATGCCCAATCTGCCTGATAAATTTCTTTTCATTTTTCAAAACCCACCCCAGATGCTGTTATTATTTTATTCCTGTATGTTTCAAAGCAGACTATAGCATATGGCGGTTAAGTGCATGAATGGGCTTAGAGTCATATACTCTGAACTAACACTCTATTTCTATTACTAATTAGTATATGACCATGGGGAGTTATTTAATACCCCAGAACCTCAGTTTTATTACATGTAAAATGTGAATAATAATGATGCTACTTACTTCATAGGAATGTTGTGAAGATTAAAAGAAATAATGTAAGTATAACATTTAGGAGTGTCTGGCACAATGACTATTAAATGGTAACTACTAAATGCCATATTTTTCATTATGTATTGCAATTTGTTTATTTGAATACCTATCTCTGTTGTTAGACTGTGAGCCCCTTGAGGGATATGCATTGTTTCAATCTTTAATTAATCTTTAGTTCTAAACCTAGTGCCTAGTAGGAGCTGTGATGACAGACGGATGGGAGGGTAGGAGGTAAGGAAGATGGAATAAGGAACACACTTGAGTTGGGACACAGGTTCTTTTCTATGTATGTATGTATGTATGTATGTATGTATGTATTTTCTATGTATATATGAGGACAGGATGTAAGGATAAGGGAGAATTTAACCACGGCTCTTGCCACATCTGGGGCATCAAGGATTTCCACAGTGGTTTCTCTGAGGGTCTTGGTAGGGTATAAGAGTCTCCAAATTAAAAAATTTCTATGGGAAGTAGGCAAAACTAAAAGCATAAATTAGGTAGTGATGGTAGAAACTGCAGGGGTTGTGAGCCAGAGAAGGCATTTGGATGGATCACAGTAAACTGCAGGAAGTGAAGATAAATCTCCATTTGCAATGCTAGCAAGGAGAGAAAGGGAGCTCTTGCTGCTAGGTCATTTACAGAATTCACTTATTGGATGTATGCAAAATAATGTGTCAGGGAGGAACAACACAGTTAAAATATTGTCATTAATTGAGTTTCTTTAGACTTTTAAATATTGATGACATATTTTCTAATCTAATTCAACTGAGAATACCACCATCATGTGGGATAATTATGAAGGTTACTAATTATAAATATGAACTGTCTGACACAATTCTTGACCAATAGAGAGTACTCAATAAATAGTAACTACTAATGTTTTTTTTTACAGATCTACACTATATTCAGTCATAAAAAATAACCCACTTAATCCTCTCTACTATTTCATAGAGCCGACTAAGTTAAGTGATCACAATTGTTATAACAAGTACAGAATTGCTATCCCTTCAGGAAGATCAATCTGCAACATTTCCTTCAACATTTTGAGAAGTATAAAAATCAGCTAAGAAAGTATCAACACTCACATGTTCAATAATATTAATAATTGAAAGTTAATTTTTATGTTGAAAGCTAAAGATTCTGGCAAATTCTAGCATACAGGCAAAAGTTAAGTTGGAGAGATCAGACTGACTTTTGTTAAGGCCCCCCCCACCCCCCGTATTGTGAATGAAAAATCACTAGAATGAAAAAGTGATTCCTTATTTAACCCTCTTGAGAAGCTGGTCCAACAAATAGTAATGTGTATAATAAATGTACTTACAACTATTATCTTGGTTTAAACTTACACTTGTTTTCATTTATCCGTTCCTTAATTATAAAACTTTGAAACAGGTGAAGGTATTAAAATCTGCTCAGGAAACATAATGAAAATGAACCTCTAACTAAAGATCTATAATGGTTTCACTTTATCTAGGAAATTTGATCTCTTCTAGCTTTGAAGATTCACCATAAGCTGGTTCTATTTAATCTACCCTTATTTCCCACAATTTACCCACATTAATTCTTAATTCTTAAGAGTCTGGCCTCTAAACTCCCAGACCCATGCTCAGTCACTCTCACCTCTGCATTCTTGTGTGGTCTCCACCTACACTGTACTCACCCTCTTCTCTACCATGTTTTCTCACTGGGGCCTGCTTAAGCCCAGGACCTGTGTACTTTGAATAGTATGAGTATACAAAATTAGCATCTTGCCACAAGCTGTTCTAGTTTTTAATTTATACAATAACAGTAGAAAATTTAACAGTAGAAAATTCTACTCTATTGATTTTCTTTCCATGTTTGTGTAAGATGAAAGATTATTTTTCACAGGCCACACATAAAAAATGACATTAAAGTAAAACCTCTTGTGAACAGTTTTTTCCCAGTCCTGATGAGGAGAACAGCATTTTTAGGTAAGGATTATGACATGCAAAATTAATGTTTGCTGGGTGATTTTTAGACTATGCTTGGAAATACAGTCAATCCATATACAGTTTTCTTAATTTACCAACATTAAAGGTTCCTTATCACTCTAAGTCAAAATTATAAGGGGAAGATTGCTTTATTCTAGACAAAATTTCCTTTGAGAAAAACTTTTCAATACAAGGAATAATTCCTACGGTTCTCAAAACAATAAGACTTTCCAGAACATCTTATCTGTAACTTGTTCTTTCACACATAGCTTAGATCAGAACAGATTATAAAAAAGCACACAAACAAATAAGTAAAGATTATTCATAATCCTGAATCCCTCAAATGCTATCATGGTTGCAAATGACAGGAATAACCACTGAAATTTCAGGACAAGTTAAATTAAACCACATCTAAGATTTATCAACTTTGTTAATGTTTTGTTTCTTCATTCAGAATTTACTTAGATTGATTACCTCCAGGAGGTATTACCCAAAACACTCAGACTTTAACTGAAGGATGTAATACCAGGAAAGAGTAATGCCCAAACTTTTTCCTTTGAGGTTTAAATTAATTTAGTGGGCAAAATGAATTTCTTTCTTAACAAATAAGGCTTATATAACCCATTCAAATCTTATCACTGTGAATAAACCTTACTGTACAAATAATTCAAGGTAAGACACAAGCTTCTGTATTCATGTTTAGATAAATAGTTACCATTAGAAAATAATAAAAAACAAGGAAATTGACCTAAAGCCACATTAACAAAAAGTATCTCTCTAATCAAAGCACATTAATTTAAATTACTTAGGAGAGTTCTTAATAATACTATCTGAAAATTTCATGAGTTACATTTCACAGATTCAAGGTAGTGCCAGTTTAAAAAGTGTTTAGGTACTAAGAAATCTGTTAACTGATATTAGGCAAGTATCCTTTTTTTGCAATCTCAGTAATACCACCATGAAAGGAGTAAGAAGACAAAAGTAAAAAGACTTCCCTCTATCCACAACGGTAAATAACGCTAATTATTCTATAGGTGTAAAGAAAACGTCAACTGAAGTAACTTTGACACCTAGACAAACAAACTATCAAAGGTTTTCAGATTACACTAAAAAAAATATTTGCCATGCAAATATTAATTAAGCATTTTAGATCACCATAAAAAGGCTTAAGGAAAATTAATCCTCAATATTGGAATAGAACAAATTTTGGTAAAAAGAAGACAATTTTCTAAAATATTATTATTTAATTATAATCAGGGATTCACAGAAAATATTTATCAGGAAAGAGTCTGTCATAACCAGTAATACAGTGTTGTTACAATACAGAGGAAGGAAGAAAGAAATATGTGAAGATCAAAATTTTGATCACTTACCTCATGATTCAGCTCTGCTATCTGATCTTTCAGTTCCCTAATATACTGGTTAGAATCAGACTTGTTAAGCTGTCCTTGAAGCTTTCCTTCTTCTTTCTGTTTTATGACAATAAAACAAACCAAAAACAAGAGACAACTTTCACAGCATGTACTCAAATACTTTAAGATATAGGACAGCATAAGGGCATATCCTTTAACTAGCTAAATTCTGAACAAACCTGTTCTCAAACTATCTCTGAAAAGCAATTTATAGTAACTTATACTGATTATTTCTATATAATGCTTAGGGAAGTTGTTTATAACAAATACAACTTATAAAATGTACATTTTGAGAAACTCTCAGAAACCAACAGTTGAATGGTGTACTAGTGAAAAAATTACCTTAGAATTTCAAAGGCATTTTCTTACTTTGAGGATAAATGATTTTCTATCCATACCACAAGAGATTCAATGCTCAGTTGATAAGGCAGTGAGCCTCCCACAGCTACATGGGAATCAGCTTTTGTGTGGCAAACAGAGGAGAAAGAGAAAAAAGAAAAGGTTCTGCAAACACTCTTAAAAGGGGAAGGACAGCTCTGAATCTCTTGTTTAATTACCTTAGGAATGTATGGCAGGAGTCCTAGATATAGCTGATTAAAAGGTGCTCGAATCCTAACAGCTAGTTTCAGAACCATATGTGATCATTTTCCAGGGATATAAATTGGGAAGGGGGGAAGCTGCCTTTTCATATACCATCTGAAAACAAATGTGACTTTTAAGACATAGGGCTTATTAGAGAGTGAAAAATGAGTTGTTTTTTATATTGCCAGATTACTTCTAAAAGCCATGTGATGACGCTTGAAATGTTAAGAAGCTCTGATCCAGAGACAACTATTAAAACTACTGAGTAACTCCAGATACCAACAAAGTACTAGTTTACTTTTAACAGTCACCCATCACTTGGTTTCCTTCCATAAAGACAATCACAGTTGTTTTTTATTGTAATCTTCCCATGATATTTTGTACATATGTATCGAAACACATTTGCATACACACACATATTTCTACTAATACTACAGACACTATGAACACTGTTCTATACTTGCTATTATCTCTTAAGAATCCAACTTCAAGATCATTCATTATCAGTACCTACAGAGAAGATACACATTTCGATTTGAAAGAGCTTTCTAGTTTCTATAAAAGTTATCTTAGTGCTACTTGAATATTTATAGGTTTATTTTTATTTTTATTTTTTTAACGTTTATTTATTTTTGAGACAGAGAGAGACAGAGCATGAACGGGGGAGGGGCAGAGAGAGAGGGAGACACAGAATCGGAAACAGGCTCCAGGCTCTGAGCTGTCAGCCCAGAGCCGGACGCGGGGCTCGAACTCACGGACCGCGAGACCGTGACCTGAGCCGAAGTCGGACGCTTAACCGACCGAGCCACCCAGGCGCCCCTAAAACCTACTTTTAAAAAAATCTGGGGCGCCTGGCCATCCCGATTGCCATCCTTGCCATCCCGATTGCATTCTTATGTAACTTTAGTTTGTTCAAATCCTTTCAACAAGCTATTCTTATAAGCCCACTCTTTTTGTTTTTTTGTTCTTCTCCTTTTGGTCACCGGTCTTAAAAACCTTTCACTAGAATATGGCCTGCTGAAGCAGTTAACTAATATTTGTATAGATATAAAGAACAACTATTATTCCTAGAGGCTTTAAAACTTTTCTTATATGTTTGAACACATGAATATCACATATAATCACCTAAGCAAAGAACTAATTTAGGGGCACCTGGCTAGCTCAATTGGTAGAGCATGTGACTCTTGATCTCGGGGTTGTGAGTTTGAGTCCCACACTGGGTGTGGAGATTACTTAAAAATAAAATCTTAAAAAAAATTACTAATTTAATAATTATATTCCAAATGTGCCAGGCTTCATAAACATAGTCAACAGACACCTTATGATTTTTAGCCACTAGCCTGTATTTAAGAAAATATATACATATTTTTAAATTTTAGTTAGAAATACTAGCTTGAGCCAAAGCAATACTGAAAAGGAAGAACAAAGCAGGAGGTATCACAATGCCAGATTTGAAGATACACACTACAAAGCTGTAGTAATCAAAACAGTTTGGTACAGGCAAAAAAAATAGACATACAATTAATGGAACCCCAGAATAGAAACTCCAGAAATAAACCCATTATTATATAGCCATATAATCTATGACAAAGGAGACAAAGATATACAATGGGGAAAAGATGGTCTCTTCAATAAATGGTGGTGGGAAAACTGTACAGCTACATGCAAAAAAATGAAACTGAACCACTTAAACCACACACACACACACACAACGTCAAAATGAATTAAAGACCTAAATGGGACACCTGAAACAATAAAAATCCTAGAAGAGGGCACAGACAGTAATTTCTCTGCCATTAGTTGTACCAACATTTTTTCTAGATATGTCTTCTAAGGTAAGGGAAACAAAAGCAAACACAAAAGTAAACATAAACTATTGGGGCTACACCAAAATAAAAAGCTTTCTGCACAGCAAAGGAAATCATCAACAAAACAAAAAGGCAAAAACAAAACAAAAAGACAACCTATTGACTGAATGGGAGAAGATAGTTGCATACAATATATCTAATAAGAAAATTTTTCATTCATATATATATATACTTTTACATATATATATATATATATATAT